TGTCCAATTCTGGGAACCACAATTGAAGAGAGATGTTGACAAGCTGGAATGTGTCCAGAGGAGGGCAACTAAAATGATCAAGGGTCTGGAGAACAAGCCCTATGAGGAGCGGCTTAAGGAGCTGGGCATGTTTAGCCTGAAAAAGAGAAGGCTGAGAGGAGATATGATAGCCATGTATAAATATGTGAGAGGAAGTCACAGGGATGAGGGAGCAAGCTTGTTTTCTGCTTCCCTAGAGACTAGGACGCGGAACAATGGCTTCAAACTACAAGAAAGGAGATTCCATCTGAACATGAGGAAGAACTTCCTGACTGTGAGAGCCGTTCGGCAGTGGAACTCTCTGCCCCGGAGTGTGGTGGAGGCTCCTTCTTTGGAAGCTTTTAAACAGAGGCTAGATGGCCATCTGTCAGGGGTGCTTTGAATGCAATCCTGCTTCTTGGCAGGGGGTTGGACTGGATGGCCCATGAGGTCTCTTCCAACTCTAATTCTATGATTCTAACTCTTTCCAATTGGAATTCATCTTGGATTTTTTTTTTTTGTTCTTGGATAGCCACCTTGTGTTTAAAGACAATGTGTCCTAGGACACTGAAGTATTTTTCCCCACTGTTTTAGGAATATGCTAATTTCTGCTACCACACCTGTGCCAGGCTGTCTGTTCTTTTGCATATGGAGACTGACCCATTTGTCTTATATGGAGAGAGATCCTGTCTCTTCAACACCAGTGTAGAAGAGGACATTTCAACATGTGTTGCTTACTGCCAGGTTGCATGAGAATCAAGACCTGCTGAACTTAACGGTATAGGAATCCGCTCTTGTTTTCTGTCTAATAATAATAATAATAATAATAATAATAATAATAATAAATTTATTACCCGCCTCTCCTTGACACTCCCATGATCGTTTATGTCTCCCTTTGCTTTAAGCTGTTGACAAATCCAATTTCAGACTTCAGTACTGAAACATGTATGAACCCACAGGATACATGTCCAGGTTTATGTATTTGCATAACTGAAAAGTTTACATTTAATCTCAGTTGTCTCCTGGATTGTATGTGCTTGCCTTGCTTGAGACATGAGTGGAAAAGCAAATGGAGGATCATTCTATGTGAATCAATCTGTGCATCCGGTCTGGAATGCTAAGAATGAGGGGTCGCACAGTGGATCAGTGTGAACTTTGCCACCAATTTAATCTTGCTTCAACAGGCACCAAATTGAATATTTGACCCACATTATTTCCTCTACATTCCATTACAAAAAGTGTATAGAGATTATTACTTTCGTTCTTATAAAGTGGAAAAAGTGCTCAGGGTTTAACACAGGTATTTTACTGTACCGGTTAATGAAATTGCTATATTAGCATCACGATTGCTGCAAACCTCCCTCTGGCTAGCTAATATAATTTAGGTGGACGTAATTTTAGCCTACCTCTAGCAACGAGAATCTTACGTTCTTTCCCTGACTATTAAGTGGAAAAGGAAGGCAGATTGCACTTTTCCTTCTGTATACAGTTTTAAAGGTTTACCATATACACATAATGCTAGGTGTTGGAACACAGTGCCAATGAATTTCTGCTCTCGGAAAGTGCATTATCTGGAACGGTATGATTTACAGTAAACACAGTTTCAAAGATCACCAAAACTGGTGGTTCAAGCACTCCACCACCTGGAGAACCCGAAGATAAGAATGGAAGAGAAACAGTTGTATGTATATCTGATAACATCTTTAAGATGTCAAGGATCATGTGAGTGCTTGACATCTTGATTTTAGCTGTAAAGTCAGAAGTGGCTGAAATTTCTGAAGAAAGCATATTTCAAAGCTATTAAGGTATTGGAAGGACCACAGTTTCCGAGGCCTCCATAAGGTTGGAGAGCTGTCTTAGAAAGTGTCACATCACTAGCAACACGGGGTTTATGGCACTGTCCTAATGTAAGAGTTGAATCAGAGGTTGGATAATTGGTTTAGCATTGCTGGGAGTAATAGCTGGGAAAGAGGCTGATCACTGGTTGCTGTTAACAATTAATTCATTGTATGGATTAATTAAATAGTTGGGTTGCTGTGAGTTTTCTGGGCTGTATGGCCACGTACCTATACTGTTAGGTAGATGTCTGCCCAACTTTTAATAAAGCATACCAGGGAATATGAAAGTCTTCTGAAACATCTCTAGAGCTTTTCACCAGATTCGTGTCATTGTCTAGAGCTTTTCACCAGATTCGTGTATTTGTCTGTCTAAAGAAAGCATGTTGAATGAGGGCCTTTCCATATCTCTGTGTGTGAACATTAAAGCTGTGTTAAAAGACCTCTAAAGACTCTGTAGTCTGTGCAATAGATTTCATATAACAATTCTCTGTATTTGAAGAACAGAATGGCCAGTTCTATGTATTTATTTGGGGATGGTCAGACAGCCGTCTCCCAATCCTGCACCTATTAGATTAAAAGGCAAGAGAAACTTTGCTTCAAAAGAAAGATATAAAAATGCTCACAAGGCAAACATAAGTCCTTGGGGGCTTTGGATCCAAGCAAAGAGATTCAAGTAAAAATAGAGAAATGCAATGAAAAGAAACATTTCCTAATATATATGATCCAAGGCTGTCTTGGGACTATAAACTGCAGAGCTTGGGAGTTACTTTGTGGATGAGAATTCCCCAAATCCCCAGTGACAACGCAGAAAGCTTCTGAAAGTGATTGTCCAAAGAATGATTTTTGTAGTCACTGAACAGCTGGCATAATACAGAAGGAAACAGAGCAAGTGACAATGGTAAGAAGAATAAATAGAGTGAATATGGGGTCTTTTTGCAAGTGTTTTCTTGCATACAAATGTGCCTACCTGAGATCCAACCTGGAATTACTGTTCCAAGTTACTGCATTATCAAAGTCTGGACTTTGCATGTCTCAGGCATGGCAATTTCGATGGTGGCAACCAGATATTATCCAGAGAGGTTAGGATGTTCCTCATTTTCCTTTTAAGGCAAATTCTTTCACTTGAAGAGTCAAAAAGATAATAGGTTCTTGTGGGTTTTTTCGGGCTATAGGGCCATGTTCTAGAGGCATTTCTCCTGACTTGCCTGCATCTATGGCAAGCATCCTCAGAGGTAGTGAGGTAATGACCTCACTACCTCTGAGGATGCTTGCCATAGATGCAGGCGAAACATCAGGAAAAATGCCTCTAGAACATGGCCCTATAGCCCGAAAAAACCCACAAGAACCTAGTGATTCCAGCCATAAAAGCCTTCGACAATACAGAAAGATGTTTTAGATTTTTTTCCATGTCAGGAGCAACTTGAGAAACTGCAAGTTGCTTCTGGTGTGAAAGAATTGGCTGTCTGTAAGGATGTTGCCCAGGGGATGCACAGATGTTTTCATGTTTTACCATCCTTGAGGGAGGCTTCTCTCATGTCTCCGCATGGGGAGCTGGAGCTGAAAGAGTGAGCTAATCTGCGCTTTCCCTGGACTCGAACCTCCGAACTGTTCTACAGGCACAAGGGTTTAACCCATTGCGCCACCGGGAGCTCCATATTTTATATATTTTAGATCATTGCTACTGAAAGTGATGGTCCATTGAAAACTCCTGGTCAGCAGCAGGAAAATAAATCAAATTAAATAATAATTTGGCATTAAAAATGCTACAAATCCCTGGTACATTGGAGGGAAATGACAAGTTTATTATTCCTTTATTATTCTCCCATTGTTCAATGTTAGTGTTAGTTGTTTTTGGCACTTGCTTAAGTAGACAGAGTACAAAGAAGTCCCCTCTATGTGATGAAGAATGAGATGCAATCCCAATCAACAGATAAAATGTCAGTGAAAGAAGGAGACAGCCATTGGGGTATTGCTGAGTTTACTTCTAGTTCAGAACTTTAAATTGTCTCCTCTGACAGACAAAGAAAACCACCTTGCAGGCAAATTCAGTTAGAAAGGCTTGGCCATCACTTACAGTTATTCTTCTGTTCTCTCCATACAACTGATTTTTGCCATCAATTGGGTTAGGAGCCCCCCGGTGGTACAATAGGTTAAATAATTGTGCTGGCAGGACTGCTGACCAACAGATCAACAGTTTGAACCCAGGGAGAGTGGGTTATGTTTCCTCTGCCAGTTCCAGCTCCCCAGGTCACAAGTTTGAATCTGGGGAGAGGCAGATGAGCTCCCTCTATTAGCTCCAGCTCCTCATGCGGAGACATGAGAGAAGCCTCCCACAAGGATAGTAAAACATCAAACATTCGGGCGTCCCCTGGGCAACGTCCTTGCAGACGGCCAATTCTCTCACACTTGAAGTGACTTGCAGATTCTCAAGTCGCTCCTGGCACCAAAAAAAAAATCATTTGGGTTGGAGATAGAGGTAGGGAAATGAGTTAATCAGAATGTTCCCTTCTTGACCGGTAGCAGATTGAATCATAGAATCATAGAGTTGGAAGAGACCTCATGGGCCATCCAGTCCAACCCCCTGCCATGAAGCAAAAATATTGCATTCAAAGCACCCCTTACAGATGGCCAGCCTCTGTTTAAAAGCTTCCAAAGAAGGACCCTCCACCACACTCCAGAGCAGAGAGTCCCACTACTGAATGGCTCTCACAGTCAGCAAGTTCTTCCTCATGTTCAGATGCTTTCTAGTTTCTGAACAAAGAGCCCCAAACTCATGCTGTTTTCATAGAATCATAAGAGGCCATCAGGTTCAATTCCCTGCTCAATGAAAGATCTCCAGCTAAAGGGTTCTCAGCTGGAGATCCTGTACTGAGCAGGGAATTGAACCTGATGGCCTCTTCCAACTCTGATTCTATGAAAACAGCATAAGTTCGGTGCCCGGCCTCTTTTTGAAGACGTCCAGAGAGGGAGACCTCACCACCTTTCTAGGCAATTGATTCCTTTGCCAAACTGCTCTCACTGCCAATATCCTCCTTTTAATTTTCAATCAAAATTTCCTCTCCAGTACCTTTAAATCATTAGACCAATAGCATACCATTTTATTCATGAGAAGGGGACAAAAATACAAAATAAAATCCATAAGAGTTAGTTCCAGTGTTTTTTATTTCAATTGTTTTAAATGGCAGTACACAAAAAGAACGCCAAACAGAGAACAATTTTTAGATAACCTTCATACATTCCGTTTTACATTTATGGTTTAACTGTAAAGGAAACATGATACATTTCACAATTAGCAGCATGTAAGATTTATTATAGAATTCGCTGGCAGAAGTAAACAAATTTACAGTTGTATGTTGGTTGAGAAAAGGTCTAATGTTGGAAACAGCTTCAAAACACATCCAGAGTCAATAGTTCCAACTTATGTTTCTAAAGTGCTCCCTGGGATATATTCTACTTTTAACTTTAATGTAGTAAGCAATCATTCAAGATGTCAAAAAAACTTATGAAGGAAGCAGTAGATTGAAGGTAAAGGTAAAGGTTTTCCCCTGACATTAAGTCCAGGCGTGTCCGACTCTGGGGGCTGGTGCTCATCTCCATTTCTAAGCCAAAGAGACAGCATTGTCCATAGATGCCTCCAAGGTCATGTGGCTGGTATGACTGCAAGGAGCGTCGTTACCATCCCGCCGGAGCAGTATCTATTGATCTACTCACATTTGCATGTTTTCAAACTGCTAGGTTGGCAGAAGCTGGGGCTGACAGAAGGAGCTCACCCTGCTCCCTGGATTTGAGCCTGTGACCTTTTAGTAAGCAAGTTCAGCAGCTCAGAGCTTTAATCCACTGAGCCACCGGGGGCTCCTAAGTAGATTAAAGCAAACAGTGAAACGCATACAATTTTGCATCACATCCCTGGATATATCTAAGGTTTGGGAATGGCAGCAGCAACCAAAACCAATGGTCTCCAACACTGGTGCTTTCCCCACTTTGTGGAGAGACCTTCTACATCCACAGGTCATATCAAAATCCATAATTTAGGCCTCCAAAACTGCTCTTGACCTATACATAAAGTCAATGTATACATGAGTATATATAACATGTTGGAGCATTGCTAGAGGTTGCATAGCAATGAGTCCTTCATCTGAGCACTAAGTATCAAGAGAGATTCTGGGGGGGGGGGGGGGACAAGTGGTACAGTGCTATTAAAAGGTCCAGCTCTTATTAGTAAACTCACTCTAGGATTATTGCTACATATACAAGTGGGTCGTCTCTTAGTCTGCCACAATGATATTAAAATCTAAATATAAAAGTTGCACAATGTGCTGGAGAGAACCTTGGTTTAAGAGCACAAACACACATATACATACTCATCCTGTTTATACCGCCACCTGCAATAAATATATTGCATAAGAAACAATCCATCAACTGTGAGGAAGCAGAGAAATATTCCCAGAACACTCCACTTCCAGTAGAAGCAGGAGCTTTTGCAGCAACCAGCAGCAAATGAATACTTTGGCAAGATCCATTTTCCAAGAAGGCAACACTAGAAGTCAGCATCTAAAGTAAACACATTCTCATTTGTTTCGGCCATCACTGAAAAACGCTGATACTCTGAAACTCTCTTCTCAAAGAAATTGGTTTTTCCTTCCAAAGAAATGTTCTCCATGAAATCAAAAGGGTTTTCTGCTTGGAAGACCTGTGAAAACCAAACTTGTTTTAAATCACAGCTATTGAGTAAAGCATTGCAATCCTCCTAGCTCTCTGATATTTTTTCCTACTGTTTAGTGCTTTGCTACTCTGCTGCTGAGTATGCATGCTCAGTGTGGAACATATCTCACCACGCTAAAACAGTGGATGTGGCTCTTAATGAGACATGTCGCATTCTCACAGGATGTCTATGCCCTACACCACTGGAGAAATTATACTGTTTAGCCAGTATTGCACCACCGGACATCCGCTGAGAAGTAGCAGCCAATAATGAAAGAACCAAGGCAATGACATCTTCGGCCCATCCTTTGTTCAGATATCAACCAGCATGCCAACGCCTTAAATCAAGAAATAGCTTGAATGCTCTTCCTCATGAGCACTGCGGCAAGACTAACCTTAGCTAAAATGTGGAAACGAAACAAAATACCAAGTACAGATGAATGGATTCTCAAAGTACTTGATATAATACAAATGGACTCTCTCTCTCAGAAACTAAAAGAGACACGGAAAAAAACAGACTGGTCTGGATTCAAAGACTTTATCCATAATAAAGGAATAACACTAATTACAGACTTAGTCGACGTGTGAGAAATGTAAACCGAAGAAACAAAACTGGCATAATAATAATAATAATAATAATAATAATAATAATAATAACAACACTTTATTTGTACCCCGCTACCATCTCCCCAAGGGACTCGGTGTGGCTTACATGAGGCCGAACCTGAACACAACAATACAAGCAATTAAAATAAAGCATAAACACATAACATTATCAATAATGACATCAAGAATACAGAATACAGAAAATTCTTATCGAGAAATGTAATGTTCAGAAAACATTGGGAAGTCTTTTTTTTATTTTGGCTTCTTGGCTTTTTTTTCTTTTTTGTGTTTTTTCCCCCTTTCTCTTTTTCTTCTTTTTCCTCCCTGCAGCTTTACTTCCTCTTTCTTTCTCTTCCCTTACTATCACAAAGGAATGTTTTCCTCCACTTCGCTGTATATATCACTTAAACGCACAATAAAAACTATTTGGAAAAAAAAGAAATAGCTTTCTAAGATCTACAGGAACACCCCAGCAAATGAGAGTCCAAAAGTGGCAGGCTAAAACCCAGCGCTTCAATCCATGGCTGATACCGAATGAGAGACTCCCCCCTGGACACACAGAAGACTAGGTGACTTGGAAGGCGTTGAACAGACTGTGCTCTGGTACCACAAGATGCAGAGCCAACCTTAAGAAGTGGGGCCATAAAGTGGGTCCACTACATGCGAGTGTGGAGAAGAGCAAATCACAGACCTCCTGCTACAATGCAGTCTCAGCCCTCCCACATGCACAACGGAGGACCTTCTTATAGCAACACCAGAGGCATTCCATGTGGCCAGCTACTGGTCAAAGGACATGTAGTATAATGCCAAATTTTTAACTTTGTTTGTGCTTTTAAAATATATTACAACTGTATCGCTTCTGATACGATAAATAAATAAGCAGAAATGTCTTTACAATTCAGAAATTATTTAAACTTTTCTGAAACTAATATTGCACTCGGTGTTTGCCTGCTGCTATTTTGTTACATTTTTAAACAGTAGAATAGGTTGATATTCATTTATATAATATTCTCTGATTGCTTTTTATTTACTGAAGATAGGTAGGACTTTTTTAAAACAAGAAAGTGTCAAGCTTACAGGTGAGCAGTGATTTGTAAGACAACTAACCAAACCAAACACATATAACAACGAAAATGTGTCTTTTTGGAAAGATGTAGGCAGGCACACACACTTTTTTCACAAGGTTGTTTTGGTGGAAGGAGAGGGTTTTTCTTTTCTTTTTCTTTTTTTGCAAATAGCAATTGAACTCCAGCACAGGCCTGAAGCAGACCGAAGGAAAACCCATTATATAGACTAATGCTAAATAATATACTTTCCTGAAAAGCCATACCTTGGAGAAGCCCAGTTCCAGAAGTAACCTGTCAGCCACAAACTCAATATATTGTTTCATTAGAGTGCAATTCATTCCAATCAAGCCAACTGGCAAGGCCTCTGTCAAAAACTCCTACAAAAGTAAGAGAAAAAAGTAAAACTTTGAGGGAGGGACAGATAGAGAGCAGTGTTTCTCAACCTTCCTAATGCTGTGACCCCTTAATAAAGTTCCTCATGTTGTGGTGACCCCCAACCATAACATTATTTTTGTCGCTACTTCGTAGCATTGCCCAGACACAAATCAAGGAACATGAAAGGCACTGCAGAGAATTCAGCCATAGCAGAGCACCTGATGAACCAACCTGGACACAGCATATTATTTGAGAACACTGAAATGCTGGACCACTCTCACAACCACCATGTCAGACTACACAGAGAAGCCACTGAAATCCATAAGCATGTGGACATTTTCAACAGAAAGGAGGAAACCATGAAAATGAACAAAATCTGGCTACCAGTATTTAAAAAACCTCTACAATTACAACAGCAAAACAACAGAGAGGAAACAATCAGGGACAGCTAATCACCTCTCAACAAAAGATTCCCTCAGGCATTAACAAGCCACACCAAAAAACTGCCAGGCCATCAAATGCTAATCAAAGTGATCAGTTGAAACATTCACACCTAGCTCCAACAGACAAGAGTTCTTTGTCCCACCCCGGTCATTCCACAGATATATAAACCCAGTTTTCCTAGTTCCAACAGACTTCACAACCTCTGAGGATTCTTGCCACAGATGCAGGCGAGAATGCCTCTAGAAAATGGCCATATAGCTGAAAAAACCTGACCGCATAATAACTATGTTGGATAGTGACCAAAGCTTATTGTGTGACCTTGGGACAGTCACTATCTCAATTTAGACTTATCCTATGAGAATGTTGTGAGGATAATGGAGGGAGAAACATGGAGAACATCTAAAACCTAGTTGTTCTTTACTCCTTGAGGCCACTGAAAAGTTGTGCCATCATGTTCACTTGAGCAAATTCAGAGCTCTTTTTACAGTTTTTCCTGGACAATACAGAAAGGGACAAGGCATGTGACTATGGCTTCCACTGTGTGTTTCAATTAAAAATGCCTGAAGATGGCTTTTGACCAGTCATGCATTTTACTAGTCATTCTGGCACAAGCAAGAAATCTTATCTGCTTACCTGTTCAATTTCAACAGCATTGACAATGATCTCTCTGACTCTTTCCTCTGAAGGCTTATTCACTAAGTGTTGAAACATTAGGCAGGCAAAGTCACAATGGAGCCCCTGAAAAGCATGAGACTTTAGCTTAGTTTTCATAACAAGTCCAAATGTCCTTATGAACATTAACAGCTCTTCCTCCCATTTAAATGATATTGAAGTATTTAAAGCCTTGTCTTGAAACTGTAAGATATGTGTGAAAAATATGTTCAGCATAGCATCCTTAATGTTATTTATTTTTTATTTATTTATTTACAGTATTTATATTCTGCCCTTCTCACCCTGTAGGGGATTCAGGGCGGATTACAATGTACATATACATGGTAAACATTTAATGCCATAGACACACAACATATATAGACATTTAACTTCCAGCTTTCATAAGGGTATTTTGGACACCAGGGGAGTTGTCGCTTCACCGTCCATTTGTGACACTGATGGAGTACTTCCTCATTCTTTTGCTTGCTGGAGATTTTATGGCATCGTAAATTAGTTAAATTAGCCTCCCCACATAATCGGTACCTAAATTTCCTACTTGACAGATGCAACTGTCTTTCGGGCTGCAAAGGTTGACAGCAAGCTACACAATGGTCGGAAGCTCACTCCAACCTGGGCTGGCTTCGAACCTGGGCTGGGTTGGTAAGGGGTGAGGCAGTACCCCAGGTACTCCGGCCCCAGGCCATATAAGGCCTTAAAGGTAAGAATCAGCACTTTGAAGGTAATCCGGTGCTCAATCAGAAACCAATGCAGTTGCTACAAGATTGAAGTGATATGACACTCACTGAGACCCCTGCGAGAAGCCGGACCGCAGCATTGCACTAGTTTAAGTTTCTGGATCACCGATAAAGGCAGGCCTATGTAGAGGGCGTTACAGTAGTCCAACCTTGAGATGACTGTAGTCTGGATCACCGTGGCCAGGTCGTCTCTGGACAGATAGGGAGCCAGACGCCTAGCCTGACGCAGATGGAAAAATGTGACTCTGCTTGCAGAGGAGGCCTGGGCCTCCATTGTCAGCAGAGGGTCTAAAAGGACTCCCAGACTCCTTACCTTTATATCCTTCATTAAGACCTGGATTAAAAACATCAGAGTTAAGATACCACTCTTTCTGCAAGCCTTTCCCTTCTATCTGTAGAGGAGACCAGGTTTAATGCTTCATTAAAGCTCTTTCTACTTTAGAGGAGACAGGAGCATGCATGGTGCTCCCTCCCTGCAGCACACAGCTTTCCAAGGCATTTTAAGGAGGCTTCTCCACTTCCCAGGGAAGGAAGAGCAATCAACCTTAAGCTATCCAACCCTTGGCTTCCTTTTGAAAGCCCTCTCTTTTCTCTTGATTTGCAGGCCATGGAGTGGTATCTTTTTTCCCCTAGCACTTCTTCTGGAGGCTGCCTCCCTCCCACACTCCACTTGTAACCCAAGGCAAATGGTTTTCAACAGCCACTGTTATGTTGTAGCTGGAAAAAACATGGAGGCTGAGCCATTACCATTATGGCCATCCGAACTAGCCATACCAGCCAGATTAGCTAAGGGGAACCAGCCAAATCGAATCTATGCACAAGCCTAATAGACACTCAAAGGTTAGTCATAAATATACCACACTTCATGAGCATTTGGACTGCTGAGTTTTAAATCATAGAATCATAAGAGTTGGAAGAGACCTCATGAGCCATCCAGCCCAACCCCCTGCCAAGAAGCAGGAATATTGCATTCAAAGCACCCCTGACAGATGGCCATTCAGCCTGTTTAAAAGCTTCCAAAGAAGCAGCCTCCACCACACACTGGGGCAGAGAGTTCCACTACTGAATGGCTCTCACAGTCAGGAAATTCTTCTTCAAGTTCAGATGGAATCTCCTTTCTTGTAGTTTGAAGCCATTGTTCCGCGTCCTAATCTCCAGGGAAGCTGAAAACAAGCTTGCTCCCTCCTCCCTGTGGCTTCCTCTCACATATTTATACATGGCTATCATATCCCCTCTCAGCCTTCTCTTCTTCAGGCTAAACATGCCCAGCTCCTTAAGCTGCTCCTCATAGGGCTTGTTCTCCAGACCCTTCATCATTTTAGTCGCTCTTCTCTGGACACATTCCAGCTTGTCAATATCTCTCTTCAATTGTGGTGCCCAGAATTGGACACAATATTCCAGTTGTGGTCTAACCACGGCGGAATAGAGGGGGATTAGTTTTACTTCCCAACTTCATTCCTCATATTTTAAGATAATTAAAACCAGTGGCATGAATTAGGCAAGGAAAACATGCTCCTAAGGATCTTAGTAAGTGACAACCTACTGGTTCTTAAATGTGAATTGTGTTCCTGCGTATGTGAACTGGGGAGAGCTCCCAGGACCTGCTGACACGATAGAATGAGCCTTATTTTAAACATTACCCCTCCCTGGGCATTACTTCATCTCGGCTAATAAGTTCATTGGAGAAAGTGAGACCCGGCATCAGTCCTCTTTTCTTGAGCCAAAAGATAGCCGCAAAAGCACCAGAGAAGAAGATTCCTTCAACCGAGGCAAAAGCAACCACTCTCTCCCCTGTTTCAAAGATTTGAAGAAGAAAAAAACAGCATGTTAGTAATGCAATTCACAATCTGTTTTCATTCTATTATTAAATCACAGATGTAAGAATGTGTGTGTTGGAAACAGAACCTCCTTCAAGCAATGACTAATTTGTTATGTATATAATTCAGATTGTTTACTATATTGTGTATGTGTGCATTGATATGCAATTTTACCTTAATTCTTTGATATGCAATTTTACCTTAAATCTGGGCTTGTTTAGGACTCAGACTCCATTTTAAAACAGTGGACAGTTTAGACTTCAGTAGGAACAGTATGCTTAGAGACTTCAGGAAGAACAGATGTATGCTTCCAGACTCTCAGACTATACAGACTCCATTGGACTTTCAGAGAAGGCAGAGGGGAGATATGATGAGACGTGATGTATAAATATGTGAGGGGAAGTCATAGGGAGGAGGAAGAAAGCTTGTTTTCTGCTGCTCTGGGGACTAGGATGCAGAACAATGGTTTCAAACTACAGTAAAGGAGATTTCACCTGAACATTAGGAAGCACATTCTAACCATGAGAGCTGTTCGGCAGAGTGAACAACTTTCTGCCCCAGAGTGTGGTGGAGGCTTCTTCTTTGGAGGCTTTTAAGTAGAGGCTGGATGGGCATCTGTTGGGGGTGCTTTGAATGTAATTTTCCTGCTTCTTGGCAGGGGGTTGGACTGGATGGCCCATGAGGTCTCTTCCAACTCCATGATTCTGATTCTATATGTGTGTGTGAGGGGGTTTGTGTATTGGCATATCTTTATTCCTAACAGTTCAAAGACATACCTAGGTACATCAGTTTAACAGCTGAGAAACCTAATTGCCTTACATGAATGCTGTTTTCCCAAAAGGTTATGACTCTAACAGGTCATGCTTTTACCAAGAGGTTATGGCATCGTTTTTCAAAAGGTTGCAACTTCTTACAAGGTCATGCCTTTCCAAAGATGATAACATTTCCAAAAGGTTATGTAGATTCCATTTTCCAAAATTATGTGATGAAGGAATGTGTGGACTTTCAGATGTTGATTAACTACTATTCCCACATTCTTCGTCCCTGATCCTACTGGCTAAAGTGATCATATGGATCGACAGAGACCTATCAGATGTTCAATTTCCTGAAGGGAAATCTGAGGAAACCCATTAATTGCTTTGATTCCCTAGTGAATCACCCTACCTATACAAGTTCTGATCAGGAACTCTATTAGATGTTTAGATTATTTCAGGAAAAATTTATTTACAGACCTTTAGGTTGAATCTTTAGGGCAATATATCACAAATGAGGTACTGCTGGTCTATTTCCTCTAGTGGTCCTCAGAATACAAAAGAGTTGCCCAATTCTAGCATAAATTTGGGAAGCATCCTGCATAGACCAGCAGTACCTTATTTGTGATATATTGCCCTAAAGATTCAACCTAAAGGTCTGTAAATAAATCCTTTGCAGATTTTACCTATAGGAAACACATGAGACTTGAGATATTGTTGGGTTAAAGCCAGACAAATGGTCTTGTCAGCCAGAGATGCTGGAAGTTGGATCTCCAAACCAGGGCCGTAGCCAGAAAAAAAATTCGGGGAGTGTTGACAATTTGGGGGGGGTTTGAAAATTTGGGGGGGGGGTTGAAAATTTTGGGGGGGTTGAAAATTTGGGGGGGGGGGGGTTGAAACCTGCCTCCTAGCTCACGCTGAAGCAAAGAGCACAGCAGGGGGCAGAGCAACCTTCAATAGCTTGCAGCTCCACCCCTGTCAACCACCTCCACCAAGTCTGGCCTCCTTAATGAGAGCATTCAACACACACACACCCAACTGGTTGCTTCACTACATCGGCTATTGCTGCAAGTAATGACAGTGTGAATAAATTGTCAATATTTGCTTGAGATAGTGCTTGCAGTTCTGGAGGGACTCTTAATTTTTTGCATCTCATAGACTTAGCATGGGGATTTGGTTAACCAGTTAAAATTCATGAGTAAACCAGGTTTTTTTAAAAAAATCTGAAACATTTCGGGGGGGTTTGAACCCCTAAAACCACCCCCTCGCTACAGGCCTGCTCCAAACCATTCAGAAGGTCACAATTTCCTCCTTGCTGTGTAGAACTAACAATCCTCTAATTGAAACTAACCATGAGGATTCAGATCACAGGGACCAGAATTCGGGGCCTACACTGGTTGGATCTACACTGCCTTATATCCCAGGATTTGATCCCTCATTATCTGCTTTGAACTGGATTACATGAATCTACATGGCCAGATAAACTGGGATAAAAAGATAATCTGGGATCAGATTCTGTGATATGAGACAGTGTAGATTCAATTTTTGTTGGAAAGGCAAACCCTATTCAAAGCTGTCTGAAAATCAGGTGCTGAATCCAGGTCTGCATGGAGATATCCATCTCTCTTCCGCAACAGCAATACCTTGGAGAAAGAGGGCTTGCAAATACAGAGAGGATCATTTCAATGATTGATTCATTTTGAAATTTGTTCCTCCATATCCTCTAATGAGAGCAAGAACACACTCCCCAAATAAAAGGAACTCACTGAGATCCATAGTGGCTCTCCCCATCATGACTCTCACGTTACTTACCAAATGTGGCTTTCCTATCTCTTATCCACCGTAGTGCCCAGTCTGCTTTTTTCTTGACACATGGCATTGTTTCAATTGCATTAAATAAGAAATCCCTAGAAAGTGAAACAAAACATATTAAATATTTGAAGGAAACTACCCAGATAATGAAACTATGTATGTTCACCTCAAGTCCATAAGGCAGCATGGGATACTCACATACAGAAAACACATGCACATCCCTGAATATACCAAGAGCAACATAATAACTGCATAGGGTGCCAGAGGCCTACATCTTATTGCTAGTTCCCAATTAGAGTAGACCTAATGACTTGCTTAACTCTGTAAACATCTGTATAATCTTACTGATTCAACAGTCTACTTCAACAAAGCTAGCAATTAGATTTATGCTAGAGTATCTCCCAGTATTACCAAAGCATGTGAAAGTGCAAAACGCTTTGCAGTTTTTGGGATTTATGCAGAACTATTTTGTATTTCTTGTGACCATAGCCAAAAAAGAGACCGAGAAAGCCACATGCAATCTGTGGAACACATGACGTCCATTGCTCATGAAGGTTTTAAGTGAAACCATGGAAATCGACCCCGTAATTCAACTTTGAACAAATCAAAGTTCCCTGAGTTAGACGTCACAGAGAACAGTGAATTACTCAACAGCCAAAGATTTTAATCTTCTGCAATGGAGGGAGGAAAAAGAGTGCCTCAGTTTAAGGCTTATTCTTGTAGTGCCCAAAAACTCCTTCAATGTGAAAAAGCACAACAGAGACAATGCACAAATCTAGGCTGTCACAATACTTACGCAATTACCTTTCCTCAGGATCCTTGATGTAAGTGTCTATTAATAAACTGTACATCTCTGAATGAACATTTTCTATTAGGATCTGAAAGCCATAGAAACAACGAGCCTCTGGGACCTGCACTTCCTGACTAAAACGTTCCACCTGCCAAGGAAAGAAAGCCAGACAGTTCACACATATATATTCCTCAGATTCACAACCAAGCATATGACCATCATCACATTTGAAGACATTCTTAGGCCCCATCTATACTGCCATATAATCCAGTTTAAACTGCATTATAATAGTCAGTGTAGATTCATGTAATGCAGATCAAACCACATTGAACTGGATCATACGAGTCAAGACTGCCATATAATCCAGTTCAAAGTGGTTAATCTGCATTTTTAAACTGAATTATATGGCAGTGTAGATGGGGCCTCAGTCACCAAAGAAATTTGATTACAGAAATTTGATTACAGAAATTTGATTACAGCAGTAGGAAAGCAATGATGTTGAGAGATGTTGACAAGTTTTTCCCATTAATTAAAGGTGCTCCACAATAATGGTTGGGATGCCCATGGACACAATCATGTAGCTGCAATCGCTCTGTACTAACCTCATGTAATAAGGTTTGCAGCCTAGTGCAAACTTAAAATCAAACCTAGAATATACATATGTAAAAGCATCCTTAAGAACTCTAAGTTTTATATTCCTTCTTAAAGATAGCTCGGCAAATTGACTGGGAATTTCTGTGAAATTTAATACAGTTTAAGTGGCTATATATCAGAAAGACTGTTGTTGCATAATATAATGGTGAAATCAATTTTTCTGTTTTTTTATGTGGACAGAGTACATTGATCAGAAAGACGAGGAAGATAACAGCAAGATGAGAGGAACTTAGAAGCAGAAAAAAAACCTTTTAGGAAAAATATAGGAAAGGAACACAATAAACACAGAATACTGACTGTCTTATCACTGCAATTAGAAAGCTAAGTGGAGGAGGGAGGGAGTAATTTAAAAGAAGGCACAGCTCTTGGGTTGAGAGACTGAAAAGTGACAACCAAAACACTGCAAACTTTTTATTGCAGGTCCCACGTGTTATACATACATCCTGAATATAATTGAGTTTATGCCAACCCAAATATAAGCCAAGGCACCTAATTTTACCACAAAAAACTGGGAAAATGTATTGACTTGAGTATAAACTGAGGGTGGGAAATGCAGCAGCTACTGGTAAATTTCAAAATAAAAATAGATACCAATAAAATTACATCAATTAAAGTATCAGTAGGTTAACTATTTTTGAATATTTACATGTAACTGTAATTTAAGGTAAGACTGTCCTACTCTGATTAAACCATTATTCTAACCTTCTTCAGTGTAAATGTGTTTATGTATCCTTCCAATAATAATAAAGGGAGTAAAATAATAAGTGTAATAATAATAGAGTAAAATAATAAGTGTAATAAAAATAAAAGTAATAGAGTAAAATAATGTAAATGTAATAATAATAATAATAATAATAATAAACATAATAAATGTAATAAAAATAACAATAACAGAGTAAAATAATAAATATTTTATTACTAATAAATAATAATAAATAAATACTTGAGTATAAGCCGAGGGGGGCTTTTTCAGCCTTAAAAAAGTATATACTCAAGTATATATGGTAAATACATACATACATATCCACATTCAGTAGAATGGTCAAAAGAAGCTGGATCATATGGCTGAAAAAGCCACACATGCCATAAACTGAGAGACAGCCCTTGAACTATCTTACCAAGTTTTCATTCACAATTCCATCGCTGGCTGCAAAAAAAGCCAGGATGTGTGAAATAAAGAATTTCTCTTCTGGTTTCAGCTTGTTCCAGTGAGTGAGGTCCTTAGACAGGTCAACCTTTGTGAAGAAGAAAAATACAGTGCCATTAATTGTTGCCATGGTTTGTATCTGAGCAAACTCCCAAAGGAAGGAAATAGCAACATTCTAACTTGCAACATCTTCCCCCAACTCAGTGTCTTCAGATGTTTTGGAGTACAACCCCCATCATCCATGCTTGGCAATGATGGGAATTGTAGTCCATCACATCTGGAAATGCATCGCTGGGGAAGAAATCTCTCTTTTTCATCTTCTAAAGAAGTCTACAACGATAGAGGAAGTCCAAAAGTTTCAAATGGCTGAAAAAGACAAAGAGAATATATGCAACCTATTCAAAGATTCAACTAATAAGGTTGAGGAGTTTTATACAAAAACAAATAAGTAGAGGAAAAGGTATTTGTAAGGAGATTGACAGGCAAGTATTTTGTAAAATAAAATAAAGTAATATTCGAGCTGAAGGATCCTGGGAATTGCAGTACCAAAAAAGTTAAGTTTTCAAGCTCTGCCACAGAAAGCTCAATACTCCTGGTATTTTGACCCTTCCTCAAAGTGTCTTTTTCAGTGTCTTGTCCTGATTTGCTGCTGTTCTTATTTGATAGTGTTACAGTAAATTATTTGTTCTTAATGTACTTTGATTTGGGGGTTCTTATAGTTGCCTTCGGGCTGAGAAGGGCGGTATACAAATATAGTAATTTAATAAATAAATAAATAAAATCGTAGAAGTTGGAAGAGACCTCATGGGCCATCCAGTCCAACCCCCTGCCAAGAAGCAGGAAAATCACATTCAAAGCACTCCTGACAGATGGCCATCCAGCCTCTGTTTAAAAGACTCCAAAGAAGGAGCCTCCACAACACTCCAAGGCAGAGAGTTCCACTGCTGAACATTTCTCACAGTTAGGAAGTTCTTCATCATGTTCAAGTGGAATCTCCTTTCCTACAGTTTGAAGCCATTGTTCCATGTCCTAGTCTCCAGGGCAGCAGAAAACAAGCCTACTCCCTCCTTCCTATGATGTCCCCTTACACATATATACATGGCCATCTTGTTTCCTCTCAGCCTTCTCTTCTGCAAGCTAAACATGCCCAGCTCTTTAAGCTGCTCCTCATAAGGCTTGTTCTCCAGACCCTTGATCATTTGAGTCACCCTCCTCTAGACACATTCCAGCTTGTCAACATCTCCCTTCAATTGCAGTGCTCAGAACTGGACACAGTGTCATTCCAGGTGTGGTCTGACCAAGGCAGAATAGAGGGGTAACATAACTTCCCTAGATCTAGACACTATACTATTTATTCAGGCCAAAATCCCATTGGCTTTTTTTGCCACCGCATGACATTGTTGGCTCATGTTTAACTTGTTGTCCACGAGGACTCCCAAGATCATTTTTCACACTTACTGCTCTCGAGCTATGCCTCCCCCAGTCTATTTCTGCATTTCATTTTTTCTGCCTAAGTGGAGTATCTTACTGAGAAGCAGCTCATAAGCTATCAAATAAACATAAGGAAATAAAACAGTAGTAGGCAATTACACAAAATGGGTTGGTTTTCATTATGACCATCACAAGGCATCCAATCTAGTTCTCTGAGAGTGAACTGGACTGACTGAAATGCGGGAAACAGACAACCCTCTCTAAATAAACAGACTGAAATCCTATACACCAAGCATGGGCAAACTTCGGCCCTCCAGGTGTTTTGGACATCAACTCCCATAATTCCTAACAGCCTATTTCTATCCAAGATCTCTTTTCTTTCTGTTTTCCTCAGCTTGCTCTAGTAATGTTTCAGACACTAGACTCCTGAATGCAATGTTGAGCCATGCAAGGCAATTACATATACCCCTTATTTGTACCATGGGATAATCTACTACAATTGTGGGACCTGTGCCTCCTTTAGAGTAATGTGGTTTTTCAGGGCATCAAGCGCACACACCACAGTGTATTACTCACCTCTTCTGCTGTCCAGAAAGAAGCTTGAGCTTGCTTGTACATTTTCCAGATATCAGGATAGTGGATTGGGAAGATGACAAACCGTCGAGGATTTCTTCTTAACAAGGGCTCCTCATTTGATTTCAAGCCATTTTCAAGACCATCAGAGAACAACCTCTAAAACAAGAATATGGAGTCATAATGTACAGTTGAGACACTAAACTGGGAGAAGTGGGCTTTGTTTATTTCACCTGCAGGTGAAACTTTCTCATCCCAGAATTTGTCTCTTCTACTACTAGATCAGTGGTTCTCAACCTGGGGTCCCCAGATGTTTTGGCCTTCGACTCCCAGAAATCCTAACAGCTGGTAAACTGGCTGGGATTTCTGGGAGTTGTAGGTCAAAACACCTGGGGACCCACAGGTTGAGAACCACTGTACTAGATGAAACAGGAATGGGCAACTGTGGCTTTCCAGATGTTGTTAGGTTATGAGGCTGCATTAGTCTTAGCTAGTGCTGAAATATTGTGGGACTTTGGTGCCAAAACATGCAAAGGCCCATTGTTGCTAGCCACTATGATAAAGGGACCTAATCTGATATCTTCTCCAAGCTGAGCATCCCAAATTACCTTCAACATTGTCTAAATAAAGAGTGCCTAGGTGTAGCATGTGTGCAATATGTGTGGGAAGGGGTTGGGGAGTCTCAGAGATATGGAATTTTTTAAAAAAAATTTTGAGAAAAAATGATTAAGATGTTTATCCTTCATATACGAGTATCTGGTAATAGGCTTGTGCATTTGTGGTAAACCTTGACCCGTTCCATGTCTCAGATTTGCCCTGATCTGTTTTTTTGGGAGCATCCCAAAATTGGGAGGGCACATAGAGGTTTTCGGTCTGGGTTACTTAAAGATCTGCTTTCTATCTACCCATTATGGGGAGGGGCCTTCTCAGGCTCCCCTTCCTGTCATTTTAGGCATGTAAGCTGTTTTAAATCCAGTCGTGTCCGACTCTGGGGGTTGGTGCCAGGGCCGTAGCCAGAAAAAAAATTCGGGAGGGGTTGAAATTTGGGGGGGGGGTGAAAATTTCACGGGGGGGGGGTTGAAACCTGCCTCCTAGCTCACCCTGAAGCAAAGAGCACAGCAGGGGGCAGAGCAGCCTTCAATAGCCTGCAGCTCCCCCTGTCAACCACCTCCACCAAGTCTGGCCTCCTTAATGAGAGCATTCAACACACACACCCCACAATGACAATAATAATAATAATAATAATCCTTTATTTGTACCCCGCTACCATCTCCCGGAGGACTCGGTGCGGCTTACAAGAGGCCGAGCCCAAATACAACAGTAAAAACAACAACAATACAGCAAAATAACTCAAAAACAAGGCAATAACATTAACAACACACCATGACACAATTAAAATCTGTGGCAGGGCCAAATGTAATAATTAAAATTAAAAAGTGCTTGGCATGACCAGGTGAAAAGGGTAGGTGTTTGGAGGTGGGTGGGCATGCAGTTATCCTGGCTGGGGCTTGCCTGATGTCCTTAGGGAGAGAGTTCCAGAGTCGAGGGGCCATCACCGAGAAAGCCCTATCCCTCGTACCCGCCAATTGCGCTTGCGATGCAGGTGGGATCGTGAGTAGGGCCTCTCCAGATGAACAAAGAGATCGTGTGGGTTCGTACACAGAGATGCGGTCATGCAAGTAGGTGGGTCCCAAACAGTGTGAATAAATTGTCAATATTTGCCTGAGATAGTGCTTGCAGTTCTGGAGGGACTCTTAATTTTTTGCATCTCATAGACTTAGCATGGGGATTTGGTTAACCAGTTAAAATTCATGAGTAAACCAGGTTTTTTAAAAAATCTGAACATTTGGGGGGGGGGGTTGAACCCCTAACCCCCCCCCCTTCGCTACAGGCCTGGTTGGTGCTCATTTCCATATGTGCATATATACAAGTATATACACACATATATACAAGTATATACACAGACTGGGCCACAGCAACACGTGGCAGGGGACGACTAGTTATATTCTAAAATTATAATAGTAAATAAAGAACAACACTCAAAATACAGGGGAACTCCAGACAAGAAACAATCATTGACAACTAATCACTTCTCAACAAAGGATTCCCCCAGGCTGTAGCGAGCCACCCCTAAAAACTGTCAGGCCATCAAGGTGGCTAGTTATATTCTAAAATTATAATAGTAAATAAAGAACAACACTCAAAATACAGGGGAACTCCAGACAAGAAACAATCAGGAACAGCTAATCACTTCTCAACAAAGGATTCCCCCAGGCTGTAATGAGCCACTCCTAAAGACTGTCAGGCCATCAAAGTGGCCAATTGAAACATTCACACCCACCTCAGAGAGACAAGAGTTCTTTTTCCCACCCTGGACTTTCCACAGATATATAAACCCAATTTTCTTAGTTTCCAACAGGTCTCAGAACCTCTGAGGATGCCTGCCATAGATGCAGGCGAAACGTCAGGAGAGAGTGCTTCCAGAACATGGCCAAAAACAACCCTAAGATTCCCAACCTGTTTTGGACTTCAACTCCCACAATTCCTAACAGCTACAAACCTGGGTGGGGTTTCTGGGAGTTGAAGTCCAACCTGATTATTTCCCCTACTTCCCAAAGAAAGCGATGAGCAAGCCATCCATCCATTCCCCCGGCTCACCGAGGCCTGGCTCCCTGGCTCGCCCATGGCGCAAGAGACTCCAGCCCGCCGCTCTTCCTCCTCCTCCTGCGGCTTCTTGCTCTCAGAGGCGGAGCTGGGAAGGGAAAGGTCAACCAGGCTCTTGGGAGTCCAGCGAGGAGGCTCGCTCCGACTGCGCCCGCGCGGGAGAAGGGCTGCGATTGGGTGGACACCTCTTTCCTTGCCTTGGCGCAAGGGCTATGGGGAGGCATCAATTGACAAGCTGCACTGGGACCCGCTGATTCCAGGAAGTGTATATACCAGGCTTGGGCAGTTAGGAATTATGGGAGTTGAAGTCCAAAACACCTGTTTGTCCAGGCCTGGTCTATACCCTGACACTAAGGAAACCTTGAACCGGTGCTTGGCTGCTGTGTCGGACTGGATGAGAGCTAACAAATTGAAACTGAATCCAGACAAGACAGAGGCCCTACAGGTCAGTCGTAAGGCCAAACACGGCAAAGGGTTACAGCCTGTGTTGGATGGGGTTACACTCCCCCTGAAGAAGCAGGTTCGCAGCTTGGGAGTGATCCTGGCGGTGGCCGGGAGAGCTTTTGCACAATTAAAACTTGTGCGCCAGCTGCGCCCGTACCTTGGGAAGTCAGATCTGGCCACGGTGGTCCACGCTCTTGTTACATCCCGATTAGATTACTGCAACGCACTCTACGTGGGGTTGCCTTTGAAGACTGTTCGGAAACTCCAACTAGTCCAACGGGAGGCAGCCAGACTGCTCACCGGAGCGTCATACAGGGAGCATACCACCCCCCTGTTGTGTCAGCTCCACTGGCTGCCGATCCAGTTCCGAGCACAATTCAAAGTGCTGGTTTTGACCTACAAAACCCTATACGGTTCCGGCCCAGTGTATCTGTCCGAACGGATCTCCCTCTACGTCCCACCCCGGAGTCTAAGATCTTCTGGGGAGGCCCTGCTCTCGACCCGCCTCTATCACAAGTGAGGTTGGCGGGGACGAGGAGCAGGGCCTTCTCGGTGGTGGCCCCCCACCTATGGAATTCACTCCCTGGGGAAATTAGATCAGTAACATCACTCCTTTCCTTTAGGAAAAAACTGAAAACATGGATTTGGGACCAGGCATTCGGACAATCGGGCAGTTAAAGAAAGGACTTTGACAATGGTCAGGAAATGACTAATGGAATGGAACTATGGAACTCTGAAAGACGAAACGCTGAGCATGAGAATAGTTTTATATGATGTGTTATATACTGATTGTTTTGATTGTTTTAACTGTGATAATTGTTTTAACTATGGGTTTGTACATTATGTGTAATTTGTATAGGCATCGAATTGTGCCTTTTTGTAAGCCACCCTGAGTCCCCCCCTCGGGGGTTGAAAAGGGTGGGGTAAAAGTACCTGAAATAAATAAAATACCCTAAGTGTGGTTCCAACCCATACAGCTCCTCCTAAGTAAATAAATTCTTTTTATAAACCTACCTATTAGGAGTTGCAGTTTTGCAAGGTCTTTTGCCTTCACTGTGTTTCTGGACAGGAAAAGAGATTTAAAGATGGGCTTTAAAAATTGTGGCATAGACACCGAGAACTGGGAAGCCCTGGCCCTTGAGCGCTCTAACTGGAAGTCAGCTGTGACCAGCAGTGCTGCAGAATGGAGGGCAAAGGGGAGAAACGTTCCAAAAGGAAGGTGCGTCAAACCAAACCTGACCAGGACTGCCTTCCATCTGGAAACCGATGTCCTCTCTGCCGGAGAATCAATAGGGCTCCACAGCCATCTACGGACCCACCACCAAGACACCACATCTAGAAGGCCATCATCCTTGAGCTATGAGGCTTAAAGCCAACCTTAAAAACTGTGGCATAGACACCGAGAACTGGGAAGCCCTGGCCCTTGAGCGCTCTAACTGGAAGTCCGCTGTGACCAGCAGTGCTGCAGAATTCGAAAAGGCACAGATGGAGGGTGAAAGGGAAAAACGTTCCAAAAGGAAGGTGCGTCAAACCAACCCTGACTGGGACTGCCTTCCACATGGAAACCGATGTCCTCTCTGCCGGAGAATCAATAGGGCTCCACAGCCATCTACGGACCCACCACTAAGACACCACATCTGGAAGGCCATCATCCTCGAGCTATGAGGCTTAAAGCCAACCTTAAAAACTGTGGCATAGACACCGAGAACTGAGAAGCCCTGGCCCTTGAGCGCTCTAACTGGAAGTCAGCTGTGACCAGTAGTGCTGCGGAATTCGAAAAGGCACGAATGGAGGGCGAAAGGGAGAAATGTTCCAAAAGGAAGGTGCATCAAACCAACCCTGACCGGGACCGCCTTCCATCTGGAAACCGATATCCCACTGTGGGATTACATGAGGATCAATAGGGCTCCACAGCCATCTACAGATCCACCGCCAAGACACCACATCTGGAAGGCCATTATCCTCGAGCTATGAGGCTTAAAGCCAACCTTAAAAACTGTGGCATAGATGCCAAGAACTGGGAAGCCCTGGCCCTGAGCGCTCTAACTGGAAGTCAGCTGTGACCAGCAGTGCTGCAGAATGAAGGGCAAAAAGGAGAAATGTTCCAAAAGGAAGGTGCGTCAAGCCAACCCTGACTGGGACCGCCTTCCATCTGGAAACCGATGTCCTCACTGCGGGATTCCATGCAGATCAATAGGGCTCCACAGCTATCTACAGACCCACCGCCAAGACACCACATCTGGTGTCTGGAAGGCCATCATCCTCGAGCTAGGAGGCTTAAAGCCAACCTTAAAAACTGTGGCATAGACACCAAGAACTGGGAAGCCCTGACCCTTGAGCGCTCTAACTGGAAGTCAGCTGTGACCAGCAGTGCTGCGGAATTTGAAAAGGCACAAATGGAGGACGAAAGGGAGAAACGTTCCAAAAGGAAGGTGCGTCAAGCCAACCCTGACCAGGACTGCCTTCCATCTGGAAACCGATGTCCTCACTGTGGGAGAACATGCGGATCAATAGGGGTCCACAGCCATCTACGGACCCACCACCAAGACACCACATTTGGAAGGCCATCATCCTTGAGCTGTGAGGGATCATCTAAGTAAGCAAGTACTATGCTGTGGAATTTGTTCAGTTTTGACACCATTTTTAACTGCCATGGCTCAAGGCTATGGACTCCTGAGAGTTGTAATCTCACAAGGTCTTTCGCCTTCTCAGGTTGCATCTGTGCTGTGGAATTACTGCAGTTTGACACTAATGGTTTGATGCTATGTGATCCTAGGAGTTGAAGTTTTGCAAAGTACAACTCCCAAAGTACAGCTCCCAGAATTCCATAGCATTGAGCCAATGTATATCACCTGGACAACTACAACACTTTCTAAGTGGGGCTGCCCTTGAAGATAGTTCAGAAGCTTCAACTAGTTCAGGGATCGGCAGCCTGGACTACTGCAACACTTTCTACATGGGGCTGCCCTTGAAGATAGTTCAGATAACTAGTTCAGAGATGGGCAGCCTGGACTACTGCAACGCTCTCTGTGTGAGGTTACCCTTGAAGACAGTTCAGAAGCATCAACTAGTTCAGAGATTGGCAACCTGGACTACTGCAATGCTCTCTGCATGGGGGTACCCTTGAAGATAGTTCAGATGCTTCAACTAGTTCAGAGATCAGCAGCCTGGCATTCTGCAATGTTCTCTACATGGGGCTGCCCTTGAAGATAGTTCAGAAGCTTCAACTAGTTCAAAAATCGGCAGCTTGGACAACTGCAATGATCTCTACGTGTGGCTGCTCATAAAGATAGTTCAGAAGCTTCAACTAGTTCAGGGATGGACAGCCCGGACTACTTCAACACTCTCTACATGGAGCTGCCCTTGAAGATAGTTCGGAAGCTCCAAATGGTTCAGAGATCAGCAGCCAGGTTATTAACAGGAGTGCCCTACATGGAGCGAACAACTTCCATATTACGGAAGCTCCACTGGCTGCCATTCTGCTTCCAGGCTAAATACAAAGTGCTGGTTAGTGCCTTAAAATCCTGAACAGTTTGGGCCAAGACTATTTGACAAATCGCATCCCTGTGCATAAACCTGCTCTCAGTCCCACCTCCTTCTCAAGCATATGTTTTATATTATTTTTATTGCTTTTCTCTTAATTGTCAATTGTTTATTATATCTTGTATCAGCATTGAATGTTTGCCATTTTTCCTTTACTTTGGAAGTTGCCCTTAGTTCCCTCGGGTGGGTTAAAAATAAAGTAATATTATTACTGCAGTTGAAAATGGTGTCAAATCCAGAATACATAAATGCTCCAAAATTGTACGTAGGTGTGGCTGAGAGAGTGGCACCTCTGTTTCCGATGGTTCAGGGTTCACAGGGACACACACCCTTTCATGCCCCATTGTTTTTTTTAATATTGTGTATAAAATTATTTGCAAGCTATGTGTTTTTCAAACTCAGTACCCAAAAAGCCATTGTAAATAGCTACAAGACTGAGTAGTTTTTTTCAGTGCAGCCTGGCTTATAACAATACCAACAATGAAGTGGGCTCCACTCCAGGAAAGTTTGCCTCAGAATAATAACTCATGTTAGCATTATTAACTCATATTATTATTAAGGTGCCACAGGATTGGTTTCGCCTTGACAGAAATGACAAAATGGCACCATTTAAAGGTCCTTGCAACATCATGGCAAGATATTATATTTCATAGACTTGCAAAACTAGGGGTCATATAAACTGTTTACATATATATGCTGGTTTTGCCCCCCCTCCCCAGTGGTGAAGTGGGTTAAACCCCTGAGCTGCTGAACTTGCTGACCAAAAGGTTGGCAGTTCAAATCCGGGGAACAGGGTGAGCTCCTGCTGTTATGCCCAGCTTCTGCCAACCTAGCAGTTCGAAAACATGCAAAAGTGAGTAGATCAATAGGTACCACTTCTATGGATAGGGTAAAGGCGCTCCATGCAGTCTTGCTGGCCACATGGCCTTGGAGGTGTCTACGGACAATGCCAGCTCTTCAGCTTAGAAATGGAGATGAGCACCATCCCCAGAGTTGGATACGACTAGACTTAATGTCAGGGGAAACCTTTATGCTGGTTTTATAGGAATTTGGAATTCTGATTTCAAAAATGACCGTTTTTTTCCATTGCGTAGTTTTTACGTGCTTATGTTGTAATATGCGATTGAATGAAAGGAGTATTGAAATTAGTAATGGCATTTGTAGAAGAGCTATGTGT